TTAACGTTACTTCCCAAATATGTTTTCATTTTCCACATTTGCATGGAGGTTGAGCGTGAGCTCCGGAGTCGTACGACAAGGTGGATGTAATTAACGCTACTGAGCTGCACCCCTGTAAGTGGTTAAGAGGGTCAGTTCTATGGTCTGTGGTTTGTTGTTGTTGTTTTACCACAAATGAAAGTTTTAAAAAAACATTCTTTTTAAGAGCGTGAGCTCTGGAAGCAGCATCCTGAATACACCACTTACTAGCTGTGTGACCTTGAGCAAGAACTTAATCCCTCTAGTCTGTTTCCCAGTTTTGTGAATGAAGATAATAATAATACCTAAACCTCACAGGCTTGCTGTAAGGACTTGGGGGGCTAATCCATGCAAGGCATTAGAACAGTGCCACACACTGTAAGTATGCCACCGGAACAGGTTACTCTACTCCATTGACTGTAAGATGCCATCGATGACAGGAATTACCATTATTTTATGTACCACTACAAAAGGAAAACACTGCCCATTATAACTTAGGATATGATTGATTGTAAGATGCACCTCAATTTCGGAGATGTAAATGTTAAAAAAAAAAAAAAGCGCATCTTAGCATCTGTGAAATACAGCATTATCATCACACGGTCTTCACCCATAGTATTCTGATCTATGTCTTGTATTTTCATGCCATGTGCCTTTGTACTCACTGGGTATTTAGATTTTTTCCACCTTCACCTTTCCTCTGGCAAATTCTACCCAGCCTACCCGGCGCATTTTAAATGACCCTTTCCTGTGAATCTTCCCTCCACCAGTAAGAATGAGTGCCCCTTCTTGGTGCTCCCATGATTCTTTGCGAACATCTCATTCGCAAATCGTCCCACCCTGTGGTTGGCCTTGTGCACTGTCCCTCTCTCCCCCAGTTCGGAGCTTCTCTTCCTTTTGTGATCCCCCAGCACCTAGAGCTTACCAGGTCCTGAATCAACCCTTCTTCAACCGAATGGAGAACTCAAGCAGGTTTCAGAGAAGAGCTAGTGAGGTAGCTCCCAAACTGGGAAATCCCCCTTTGGGGCTGGCTGATGAGTGAGGAGGGGAAGCGAGGCTACCTTAGGAGTGATCTTCCAGCCCGAGAGGTGAGGCCACACAGCATGTTAACCCAGCTCTGAGGACAGCCGTCCGTGCAGCATGGGCATTCAGGGCAGCCACAGGCAGAGCTCTGGGATGGCTTCCTAGGATTACAGCCTGAATCTTTTTCTCTGATGGCGGTTAACAGTACATATCCCAGATGGTTTAACTTGAATCGGAATCACCTGGAGGGCTTATTCAATTCAGCATGCCCGCCATGCCCCTGCTGAGTGTCTGATTAAATAGGTCTGGGTCGCAGCCCAAGAATTTGTGTTTCTGATAAGTTCCACGGTGCCACTGGGCTTGGGACCGTTCTTTGCCGTGATGCTGAGAGGCAGGGTGATGGACCACATGACTTTTCCAGTTCTACATTGAAACGTTTCTTTGTTCTAGGTGTTTCTAACTGGGGAGGCAATGCCTTGGCCTGTGCTCTGTACATCCTGAACTCATGTGAGGTCCATGGACGTTACTTGAGGAAGGCAGTCGAGCCCTCCAGAGCACCTGAGGACCAGAGCTGGACTCAGGCACTCCCATCTGTCACTAAGGTAACAGACCCCACAGGCCACTCCCGTGGGTGCAGCTTTTTTCCTGGATGAGGCGTAGGCCTAGCATTCTAAGCCATAAGCCAAGGGCTGGCACGAGATGGACTGGATTGGGTGACCTTTGACCTATTAGTGATCCTAAATTATGGAAGTCCTGCTATAAATGACTATTTTCCTTCTAGTTTGACTTTGGGCAAGTTGCTTAACCTCTCTGAACCCCATTTCCTCTGTCTGTAAATTGATGGGGACCATCGACGTTGTTGGAAAAAGCAAATGCAGGCACACCTCAAAGGTATTGCCGGTTCAGTGCAGACCACCACCCGGAGAGTAAGTGGTAATCTTTTTGCTAGTGGAAGGTCTTGTCTTCAATTTTTTAAAAAAATGCAACACCTGTGAAAGGCAATAAAGCACAGAGCAGTAAAACGAGGTACACCTGTATCTGACCCACTTCATACTGGTCGCTGGGGGTGTCCTTGTCATCCCCTTCCAAGGAGTTTACGACCCACCCAGGGCACTAATATCTCACGAGGGGCAGCTGGCCATCCCACAAAGTGCTAGGATGTGGGGGCTAAGGTGGGAAGAGGGTCCTGGGGGCTGGAGGCTGGAGGGAGTAAACCCAGAAGCAGGGAAGCCTTCCTGGCGGGAGGGATGATGGGAACAGAAGCTGGGAGAGGAGGACAAGCTTAGCGCTGGTTTGGGGGGGCTGCTTCCGAGGCGGAGGGCAGCGGGCCATGAGTGTGGTAGGAGTAGAGGAGGGCTTCTGACCCCAGGGTCCACGGAGAGGGGGTCCATCCGTTCTCTGCAACAGTTTGCAGAATTGTTCCACACATGGATTTTTCTGGGCAAGGATACGTGGTTTTATCGGATTCTCCCGGTAGTCTGGGGCTATTAAGAGCCCCTGAGCAGAGGGAGATCAGGTTAGTGTGATCCAAGGAAACCATGGCTCCCTCACTGAGGGGTCTGGCCGAGAAGTGACACGGGAGGGCTTTGAGCAAGGGACTCTAAGCCCCACTGGTGGCCTCCGTGAGCTCTTCTGACTGCAGAGCCAGCAATCCGAAGGGCTCTGTGCAGCCTTAGGCAGCCTGCAGTAGACAGATGCAGAGGGAGAGCAAGCATCTCACGTGTAGGTCTAAATTATGTGAACTCACACACGTTCAGGGAAAGCCCAGGATAGAAGGCCGGCGCTGTCAATGGTGCCTGCAGTGCTGCCCCCAGCGCCAGAGCCTGAGCAGGAGACTCTGCCATTCCTTCCTCGGGCCTCAGTTCCCAGGCTCTCGCGTGGTCAGCTGGGACTGCCCACCTGGGAGAGAAGCTGGTGACGTGTCAGTCTCTTCATGGGGCACCTTCTGGGGGGATTTTCCAGAGTAGTTTGGATCATGGAAGTTGGGGCCAACGCCCTGAGTTTACATCTAAATCCCAGGTCAGAAGTGACTTCACCTGTGAGTTGACGGCTTCACCAGAGCTTCACTCTGTCCTGAGCATGGGCAGGACGCAGGACGGGCAGCAGGGTGGGTGGGCTAGAAACGCCTTAAGAAGCAGTGGAGGGAGCTGGGGTGTTTGGTGTGGAGAGAAGGCTGGGGGGCCTGAGGCCTCACGCATCTTAATGGCTTCCTGGGGGTGGAGGACGGGCAACCCCCTCAGTCACTTGAGGCACAAAAGCAAGCCAGAAGGCAGAGGTTACAAGAGCAGATTTTAGTTCAGTGTAAGAAAAGCTTGTTCATCTCAGCTGCCTGGCCCTGTGAGGAGGTAAATCCTTGTTGGATAGATGGGTGGGTGGGTGGGTAGGTGGATGATGGATGGGTGAGTGGGTGGGTGGATGATGGATGAGTGGATGGGTGGATGGATGGATGGGTCTCCCTCCAGATGCTCCCTCAGCTTTTCCCAACGTGGCTCAGGAGTTTCCTGGTTCCTGGTCATGCCAGAGTGCCCTGCATGAGGGACGGGGAGAGGTGGGGCTTATGAGGCTGAAGTGACATTTTCAGGGGAAGTGGTCTTCCCTAGAGGAAAGGGCCTCTGTGCTTTCTTTGCACGTCCTGGATCTGGACTGGAAAAAAAGAAAAAAAACCCACTCAGGGTGCTGCCTCACAGATGAGCCCTGATTCACACAAACACAGAAGAATGAACCCAGCCAAACACACTCACACGGCCCAGACACTGACCCTCCAGGACGGAAAACTCTCCTTTTGCGTTTCCACCCATAAATGTATTAATACAGCACCGCTCTTATAAAGAAAATAAAAAGGAACATTTTTAAAGCAAAAGTACAAACATATGTTTGTTGAGCCCCTCCTTGGGGCCAGGCCCACCCTTGCTCTGGGAGATAGTGAGGGGTCAGACCTGGCCCCTGCAGAAGGGACTCAGGATGCTCAGGGAGACGATACAGGAGAGGTGACTTCAGGAGCCAGGATGCAAGTGTGCACAGCAAGCTGCCGTGGAGACACAGAATGGGCACATGGTTCATTCAGAGAGCTCAAGAAAGGCTGCCTGGAGGAGGCGGCGCTCAGCTGGGTCTTAGAGGGTGAGAGCAGAATAGAAACAGCTAGTTAAGGAAGAGTGGGAAGGGCCTTCCAGGCAGCAAGACCCACATAAGCAAAGGTGCAGGGACATGATGTGGTTTAGTGTTCAGGAGAATAACTAGAATGTCCATACTAGAGTTCTGTGAGTCACTCCTTGGGGGTCCTCGTGTCATTAGCAGATGCTGGGCAGAGCGGTAGCCTGAGACGATGGTGAAGCTTGATTGGTTAGGGGCAGAGAAATGGCCCTCATCTCTGCTCTCTGAAGGCAAAGCAAATGGCTAAAGAGCAGTCCCTAGACCTTGTCAGGGACCAAGAGCTGACTGATGACACGTTGCCTGTATGTAGGGCCTCCCATATTTAGGGACAATTCTTAGGGGTCTGATCATAACTATAGCCGGAGTAGGCACCGTGCTGAGGAGCCCAGACAAGGTGGCCACACCCTGCCCATGGTGGCCCTTGGCTGTGCCCTGGGGTTTTACTCAAAGGCAAAGCAAATGGCTGAAGAGCAGTCCCCAGACCTTGTCAGGGACCAAGAGCTGACTGATGACACCTTACGGGAAGGACTAAGGATGGATGGACAAATGGATGGATGGACGGACGCATGGATAGATGGATGAATGGATGGATGGACAGAGGGCCAGAGGGACTGTTGGCTGGCTGGCTGGCTGTATGGATGGGCGGGTGAGGAGATGAATGGGTGAACAGACTGATGGATGGGAGGATATGGATGAATGGCTGGATGAGAGGCAGGAGCATGTCATCTTGGGCTGTCATTCTATTTCAGCATTTTCATCTCGCTCCACTCTTTTTTTCTATAACTTTTTTGCTGAGGTCTAACTGACATGAAGCACATGAATTTTAAGTGTACAGTGGATGAATTTTTACATATGTATGTGTACATATATATGTGTATATATACATATGTTACACATATGTATATATATGTGCAGCTGTCACCAAGATCACAGTACAGAACAGCTCCAACTTCTCCCACCCACTTTGCACAGCAACATCACCTACCCCTGACTATCAGCCTGCCATGCTCCCCATGTGAACCAATAGCGGCCTCCCACACACTCAGCCTCTAAGCCCGATGTCATCCTGGGGCCTCTTTCCCCATTCACAATGAGCAAGGCCCCAAGCCCAGTTCACTCTGCCTCACTTCGGTCCCCTGTCCCTACGCTCCTGTCCCACCGTCTCAGCCTGGACTGGCATAGCAGCCTTCAGGCACCCTGCCCCTAGCCATGCCCTGGTCAATTCTCTCCCCACCGCCAGCACCTCCGCTTGGCGAGGCTTCCTTGCAGATGGTGATGCCTGGAAATTTGCAGGCGGTTACTGCCAGTCCAGCTGATGACTATGGCTCTTAGAGGCCGAGTGCCAGCCAGTTCTCATTGACTGATCACGTGTACCCTGAGGACTCCAAGGCCCTCCCTGGGACCCAGAGGGATCCAGATGGTGGGGGCAGACAGTGTGCTGGGAGGAAGTGGCCCAATGGTCCCAGAAGCATTCCCCATAAAGAAAGGATATGACTCGATGGAGAGGAGAAATGGGGTAATAAAGCCCAAACAAAAGGCGGGAAATGCCATTCTGGGTTGGGTGGCTCCCGGGACGGGGCTAGTGGACAAACAGCTCTCTGGAAATCTCTCGTGCCTCCCCCGGACCTGGCTGCCAGGGCGGAATGGGAAGGCAGGCTCTCAGGCCAGCTGAGCAGAGACAGTTCCGCAGGTGACACTTGCCAACGCTTTCACCATTGCTGTCAGGCAGTGCTCCTCATAGCCCCGCACTTGGCTCATTCCCACTCTCTTGTCACCTGTGGTCTTAGTTGTCCCTCCTCCCGAAAGTCTTCCTTGAGCTTCTCTAGTAAAGGGGATGGGGTGCCGTGCTCTATGCTGTGATGCCATGGACTGTGCCTACCTGGGCACTCATCTAGTCCGTGAACCCCCCGGGGCAGAGACCCTGTCACAGTCACGACCGTGTCCCTGGTTCAGGGCCTGGCACGTAGCAGGTGCTCAATAAAACTTCCATGGGTGAGCGAATGAATTAGCAAACGTCTGAGCAGGAAGGTGAGGACCCTTCTGAGATACGTCCCGTCTTCCTGTCGTGATTCCCTGGTCCCCTCCTCTCATCCCCTCTTTTCTGTGAAGGAAGAAGAGGCGGAGGATGTGTTTAACTTCTGCCCCTCAGAAGTTAACTTCTATGCCATCCTCTCTTTTCTCCTTTTGTCTTTACCTAAGATCCACCTTCCTCAGGGAGACCAGAGCTATTCAGCTGCGACAGACACATTAGTAGCTTAAACACATGGTTC